GCTGATGACAAAATAACACCCCGACTGTTCCTCCATAGGGAACGCTCGCTGAAATGAACACAACTGGCCTGATATAAAGCCCTGTTCACATATATAAATCAATCCGTTGATCTCAAGCCGATTTCTGATTGCACCCACTTGGCTAATAACCTTTCAAAGGTCCACAGTAACTCCCTTTTCCTCATAACACATAAGAACAACCATCATAACCGGAGCAACCTCCTCGGTTCATAACCTAATAAACAGAGTGCCCTCCAGGCCTAAATTCTCAAATTAATAATATTACCACAATCCTCATACTTGGTCTAAATCTTTAGTCAATCAAGTGACTACTTGTCACACTTATACAATCTTCCCGTGGGACACGCCCCTACAATATTCCGGAATAAATAACGGGTCCGCTCATCCAAACCATCGGCCGCACTAACGCTGAAAAGCGATCAAGAATCCTTAACCAGGATGCAAAGCCTTTTTCACAAATCATCGATCTCAGGTGGCGCTGAAAACAATACCAATTTTATTTAATCATTCACCCCTTTCCTTGCTCATCTGAGCCCGTGACATCCTTACCAGTACCAAACTGCAACCTTAATCCTCACTTCGAATTTCTATTCTACTTACTGCACCCAACGTGCTAATATACGATAGAACATGATTTTCATCATAACTCCGAAATCATTAATATTTTAACACTTCATCATATACGAACTTTTCACTTAACTCACTGCAGGAGAATCATAGCAACACACAGGTAATTTCCCATAACCGGATATGCAAATCTGCAAGTGGTGGTCCAAGCCACCATAGCCCTTCCGGAATCCGCTTCCACTTAACAAGCCATAACAGAAGAGTGTCCCTGATAAACCATCAATCACGGCGGCCGACAGGCCTCACACGTACCTCCACAAATCATACACATAACTTGATCTCGGGGACCGAACTGATCACTGGCCCCAATATGCTAATTCAACTATGGCTAATCAATTTACCTTCTTCCAATTCCTCCTTGCTTGCCTTAAAAATAAGACTAACTCCATTCAACACATAACATACTCCATCTACACTCGCCCCGAGTGACCTTGAATCACGAGACCAGGCTGTCTCCATTCCCACGAACTATTCCACATCACTGAAACGCTACGCCACAAGTCGAAATATCATAGAACATCCTGGGCACCTTCTCATAAGCTACTACAAAGCTTGGTTCTTAATTGTACTTATAGGCTCGAAATCATTGGGCACCACACTTTAACTTCTGAATTCACTAGGACCATTATTGAGAGCCACCCGCTCTGACTTGGTCCCGAATATAATTCACTCCATGAATCTTCTAGCACATTAATACCCTCTCAACGAAGCACCTGGCAGAGCCACTCCCCTTTAAACCCGCTTCTATACAAGGCATAAATTCTGAATCCTTTCCCAAGTTCGAACATGAGCCCATAAGGCTAACCATAGCACATCCTTAATAATTCCTCCACTCAATTTACTACTTATGGTCTTTTCTCGTAGCTGAATTAATCCATCAATATGCTAATAACCAGAAATCACGCAAGTAGTTAATCATACAACCCAATCATAAGCGGTGGGACTCTCCCACTTGGCTTGAAGCCATCATTTCACCATTCTTGAGTTCGCCCGACCTTTTTACCTCTTATTGACTTAACCTCGCGCCACCAATTATCAGAATCTCTCGGGATCTTCCTGTACATCACCATCTTTCATATTCTGAGACATCATCCACATTCGCACGACCGACCTCTTTGTTGAACAACCAATATAATTCCTCACAGAAGCTTCGCCAAGCACGCGACTGCTAACCTGCTCACAGGAATACCCCACCTGTAGAAATCACTCCCCGGCATCTTCCAACGCTGTTGCATGGGGTACAATCACTACGACATCAATAACCCATCCTGAGTCCGAGCTCACTCTCCAGCTGCACGAGCCCATTCAACCCTCGTGGACATCAATCAAATGCGCGGCAACGCCTTCCCAATTTCAGAGTTATGCTGCATCCTTCTTTATTTCAAGCAGCTCCTTTACGCCATACCGAATCTCCTGCCGCATAACAACCCATGCTTCGAGTTAAACCTGTAGACTTCAATTGCCCTTCGCTAAAATCCCAGACCATTCCAAACTCTCCTTAGGCGCGTAGCCATCCTACTACTAAGACCTATACGGCTCCGCCACTCTCCCACTTTCGGCAAACTCGCTCCTTTAACCAGCTGCTCGACCTACGCTTCTTATACCTGGCCCTTTAGAAGTTTAAATCTCCGCCTGACACTTCCCACATGTCTTTCTCATCCTTCGCTGCTCAGTCGTTGTCTTAATAAATTTATCTTCAGAGAACTTGAATCCACAATTTGCTACTAATCCCAAATCTTTTCGAAGGTCGTCTTTATCAAACCATCAGCATTTGCAATATTGATTCAGTCCGGAGCCACCGCATCCCGCGATATCTAATAGTTGCATCTCTGGTACTATTTCACAATATCATGCCCCAAGGGCGAGTCATAGAAGATCGTAACACCGATAAACTTAATACGTCTAATTAGGACAACCGCACCCCAATAAAGAAGAGAACTCCTTCATGCTTGCAATTACCACGTTTCATTACTTCCACTAGTCCACATCTGACCATCCTTAGTTCGATTGACCTTCCCCTGCCGGGAATAAAATACTGAATCCCTTGATTATACACTGAGTAAACCTCCCTTCAATTCGTTCACTGCCCCGACACGTGGGCAAACACCCTACCATCACAACAACACTGCGGAATAATCGCTCATAAGCATCATGGCAACCTGTGCCTAGCCTCAAGGCTCTCAAAAGTTCTGTTACTGAGCTGAATACTAGAATATCCTTCCATAAGGCGACTATAATAGCCCAATCAACTATACTGGAAGCATCATCCCGCACCACATTTGTAGTACCATTGCAATCCTTCAATTTCCGATTTATAACAAGAGCTCGCGTTTAATTGAGTAGAAAGAATCAAAGGCATAAGCCTCAAAGGAATTGAACTGCACGATAAGGAAACAAAGAAGGGAAGTACTCCTAACAACCCTGTAGCCTCCCGAGGATAAGTACAGACGTCTCCGTACCAATCCGCGAGACTCCACTAGACTTGCTCATGACTCGTGAGACCGACGGAAACCTAGTGCTCTGATACCATGTTGTCACGACCCAAAATCCACTAAGCCCACTAAATCATCAATTAAATCCTCTTTTAATACTTTTGAAAATCTAGAATTTTCCTTCCATTTTTCATAAATATAAGATCACTAATTGAATTCAAATTTAAATAATAACAATTTGTACAAATCCGTTAAAAACCTTCCCAGAAACCCGGTGTCACAAGTGCATGAGCGACTACTGATAAGTGAAATAAAATACAACATCCGTCCGAAATACAGGGACAGGGAATAATATACAAATGCTGAAAGGAACTACACTAGTTGCGGTCGCCTCGAATGATGCAGCTCACCTAATCCCAGAAACATCCGTGCTGCTACGCCCAGTAGGCTGCTAGAGGTATATATACCTGTGCAACAAAAATGCACGGAAGTGCAGTATGAGTACGTAATCAACGTGTATTCAGTGAGTATCCCGCCTAATCCCGAAGGGGTAGAGACGAGATGGCCAACTTCGACACTCACTAGAGGTCACTTAACAATATTCTATAATGCGAGGATAATCATGGATTCATATAGTAGTTCTAATTCACGAAGCCAGGAAAACAGGTAAACACCCTCAACAATTAATCAAGGGCCTCCAAGGTTTATTCTTTATTATCTTTTCAATTTATATCAAGCCACGAAGGGCAAGTTTCGCGATTAAAAATCCTCAAGCGACAAATAACATGCGCAAATCACACCGAGGCGACGGCCCGATCCAACAGGAATGTAAAATGTGCACTGCCGAGGGTCGAGCGGCACGAACCATAGATGCATCTATTTTCACCGAGGCGTTCGGCCCGTTCCATAAATAAACATATATCCTGCTCGC